GCCCGCCGCGCCGCCCCCGGCGGCGTCCTGGTGCAGCCGCGTGCGGGTCGGAAGCCAGGGCAGACCCGCGTCCTCAGCCGCTGGCAGTCGCGGGGCTGGCGACCCCGTCTCCGCCCCGGAGAGGCGCGCTCGCTTCGGTTACCGGTCGGATTTGGACCGGCTGCTGCCAGGGGCTGCTGGGCGCACCTGCCGCGAAGTGGCAGAGCTGCCCGAGGATCAGGGTGCCTCGGGCGGCCGGAGCCGGGGGAGGGATGATTTGAGCAGTTAATGCTCCTTGCTAAGAAAAACTCGAGGCACTGCGAGTGTAGCCGTGCAAGCCCGTTTTCCTGACTCGGTTCAGACACGTTTTTCAGGGCCTTACGGGGCTGTGCACTGAATCCCAGAATGCTAAGTGTTCTGTTCCTGGCCATGTTCGAATATTTTTTAGTGAATGTTTTGATAAAAGTAAAAAGGAGAAACTTGGTTTTGGGGGGCCTGTTGGAAGTGCAGATTCTGTGGCCCCACTGCCAGATGTCCTGATTGAGTGGCCCTGGATGTGGCCCAGCAGCCCTGCAGGTAGCTGGCACTGTTACCCTTCCCACCGCGTGTTCAACCCCGCTTGGAAAACCCTGAAATAGAGATGGGGGAACTTGGGCACACCTACCAGAGTTATGAAAAGCAAACTTTGGCAAAATTGCTTTCTGGTTACTAGTTGGATGCTTGTTTTTGAGTAGAATTTACATTTAGATATTTTTCTAACATGAGATTTTCTCATTTTCTCTCTCTGTTTCTCTTGGTTTCTTCCCCTACCACTAATTATGTGTATTAATGCTTCATAATTGCTCTGCCCTTACAATTTTATTATACCCAAGTGAACATGTAATTTTCTTTGATTTCATTCACCCAGTGACATTAAAGATCTGTGCATATTCTAAGTGGCACTGTGCCAAACGATCCTCAAAAGTGAATACGTTTGGTTTTGTTTCCAGTGGTACTTTCTAATATAGCGTTTGATCATATTTTAGATAGTACTTTAATCTGTAACAAGTTTCCATATACTTTCATTTTATTTGATACATTTCAGAAATGGGGCTCTTGAAGTAACTGAAGTTCAAAGAGCTCACATGACTAATATCACACTTAAGTCTGCGCGCAGGGTGAAGCGGAGCCCCAGCGGGCCTCTTTCTGATCTGAACAGTGCATCCCAATGTGCTTGCTTCTTTGTCGTATAGAAATAAAGCGCAGGGAGACCCAGGAAAATGAAAAAGGGAAACTAAGACAGTTCTTTCATTTCTCTTTCATATACTAAATTGGAAGCAAAACAGTAAAGCATAAAGGAAAGAGTAGATTTTTTTTGAAAAATACTTCTATTCACAAGAAATCACTGAGATGAATATATTGAATATATCTCCTTGCAATAAAAGCATAAAATTACTAGTGATATAACAAGTTAGTTTTCCTGTAAAGAAGTAGTTCCAGTCAGATATATTTTAAAATCTTTCTATATGCAGGTCTGAAGTGGCATGAAACCCAGAAATACACAGAGTGCCCCCCCCCTTGCCAAAGGAAAGCCTAACCTTGGGACTCAAACAAACAGTGCTGTTTTAGTCCATTACTCTGGGGATTTTCCCAAACCCCAAAGACCTTGAGCTTCTGCTTTAACAGCTGCATGGGGTGGAATGGACAAGACACAAAGCCCTGTCTGCCCAGGGAGAGGAAACTAAAAGGCGGCCTCACCCTGAAGCTTGGGCTCAAATCCGCTCGTCCCAGTCTTTTCCCCCTAAACATACTGCAGCCACGCTGACCTTTCTGTTCCTCAAACATGGCAAGTGTGTTCCTGCCTCGAGGCCTGGGTGCCTCGCACACTCTTCTCATGTAGCTCACTTGTGGCTCACCTGCTCACTTAGGTTTCTGCTGAAGCGTCACCTTATCAGACATGCCCACTTATCTGAACTGTTACCTTCCCTAATGATGCAAAATAAAAGCAAAACCCTCCACTTCACCTTCTACTTCATGTTCCTTTTACTGTCCACTTAAACTCTCCAGGGGCTTCCCATCTCACTCAGTGTGGGATTTTACAACATGTTAGGTCCTTGTCACTTGTTCCTGGCGCAGAGCTCCTGCAACCGTTGAGGTTTCCTGAGTATTAGGAATGCCTTTTGTTATTCATAATAAGCCCGTCTCAGTCAGTTAATGCTAATATTGTGACAGGTGGGGAACCCCTAGGTAGCCTTAAGATGGGACTTGTCACTGGAAAGACCAAATGATTAGAAGACTGGAGTGGTTAGCCCTGTTCCTGACCTCCAGGATGGGGAGGGGGTGCTGGAGACGGAGCTCTGTAGAAGCTCTTAAAACCATGAGGTTTGATGAGCTTCCAGGTTGGTGAATACAGACTTGGGGGGGGGGGTGGCTCTAAGACAAGGAAGCTCTGCCTCACACCTCCCAGTACCTGGCCCTGTTCATCTCTTCCACTTGGCTGTTCCTGAGTTGTATTCTTTACAATAAACCAGTAAACATTGTAAAGTGTTTTCCTGAGTTCTGTAGGCCATTCTAGCAAATTATCAAACTGAGGAGTCATGGGAAACCCTGGTTTATGGTCCTCAAGTGCAGGTGGCCTGGGGCTTGAGACTGGCCTTTTTAGTGGGGAAGTCCTGTGTGACTGAGCCCTTAATCTGGGCTCTGCTCGAACTCCAGATAATAGCGGAGTTGAACTGCCCACGCAGTTAGTGTTGGAGAGTTGGTTGGTGTGAGAAAACACTGGACTCAGGAAAAGCCAAAATCTTGTAATGGTCTCCTAATTCTTTTTTACATACGAAGTAGTTTTCCTTGTATTTATTTATATATATAATTATATATGTAAATACATAATTTATATATTTATAATTAATTATAAATTTTAGAATTACATATATATAATCTTAATCCTCACCTGAGGATATTCTTTCCATTCATTTTTTAGAGAGAGTGGCGGGGCGAGAAACATCGATAT